TATTTATTATTAAAAAGGGAAAAAAGACTTTTCTATTATCTGACTGAAGGAGCAATTACCGGTTTCTGAATTGAGAAAAGCACAAAACGTGTATTGATCATTATCAATAACATAAGTTTTTTAACGTTTTACATGGCGAGAAGTCCTAGTTTTATCAAACTACTATCAACTTATTATTAAAAAAAAAAAAACCTGCTTAAGTGACGTTGAAAATGGCTTAAGTACGTTTTGAACGTGCTTAAATTTTAAAGTGACATTATTATACGCCTATAAAGTTTTAGGTAATATGTATAATCCTTGAGGTAGGTATTTTTTACATAAAGAACTGTTATTTTGTAACACCGGATAAAAAGCATCCAATCGAAATCAGAACCGCTTCAATTGTTATCCAAGAATGTAATAATGCATATAATTTCTTATTATGTAAGAACTCCAGACGCAAACTTTGATGTTACCTAATCTATAGTATCTTACTTACCTAATTGCCAAAAGTGACAAATTATACGTCAAAGTGAGAAAAGCTTTAAATTCCGATTCCAACGTTTGAAACAAAATGTTTTTGGCAGTTCTCGTTGGTAAAAAAAAAAAAAAAAAATTCCAACCCAATATAGGGTCTATTGTTTAAAAAAATCTCTCACGTGATGATTATCGCAATATATAGTGAGAAGTTCTTTAATTGTGCGAAGTTATTAATACGTAAAGCTACGTACACATTTTTCAGTATGGTTTTCTAGCCTGCTAATTTTATTTTGAAGCATTCTATTATAAAGTTTGTTATTATCGCAGATAGGTTAGGTTACGTTTGATTTGTGTAATGTGCCTTCCATAGTCTATATTTCCCAACTTATATTTGAATAAGTATCAATTTTGAATTTGAGTATTTACAATAGATTCGAACTCGTCGTCGAACCCAGCGCTGTCACATCATAGTGTCAATAAAATAAAAACTTTAGTACTTTTTAAAGTAGATTTTATTTGTTAGAATAAAACTATATACCTCAAAATGCTACTTATATTTACTAGTTGTACTAGAGCTTGAAGATATAAGTTTTTATAACTCAGTAAATGTAGGGTTTTTGTAGCGTTAATTAACTAATTCGAAAAGTTAAATAATGTATCTATATACTTAGAATTAAAACGATTAATTTATTTCAAACTGTAATGAAACCGTAAAGATTGGAAAGAATGTGCTCAGAAGCTACAATCTAAATTGCGATTTCTGCATTTAAAACTGTTTGTTTCTAGTGTATATTCGCCCTAATGTTAGCAGTTACGTCGTTTTACATAACAAATATATTGGTTTTGTTAAGTTATGATTTTGAATTCGTGTGTTCTTGTTTCGAAATTTTAATGATACCATAATAAATAATAGATATACCAATACTGTTTTAGTGTTACTACAAAAAGATATTTGGCCATAATACAATTGCGAGATGCACTCAACAAATTTGAGATGTAACTTTGATTAGTCAATCATATAGGGTTACGATTACGCATTTATGAACAAATTGCATTTTGTTCAATCATATTGCGATCACCTTTAATTGAGATGTACCTGTGCCCAGAAAATAGTATGTTGGTTAGTTAGTCATATATTTGAATGTTAGTTTTATTGTTTTAACGGAAAACGACTTGACGGAGTTTTAATATTAATATATTACGTGTAGCTTTCATGAAAATTATAAATTCAATGTTAACGTAAATGTGACTACATTATATACCGTCAGTAGCACCAAGTAGAACCATAATCAACTTCCGGTTTTACAGTAAACAATATATACTATACTAGCTATCGTCCCGCGGCTTCACACGCGTAAATTATAGCCTATGTCAATCCCGTATGATGTAGCTTCTCTTAGCTGAAAGAATTTTTAAAATACGTCCAGTAGTTTCAGAGCCTATTCGATGCAAGCAAACAATCAACTAGTATCGATTATTAAAAGGAACATGGTTTGTTTGTTTAGACTGGACTGATTTACCAACGGTAAAATACATCATATGTGACATAGGCTTTATTTAAGCGGGCAAAGTCGCGGGAAAACAGTTTGTAATGCTCTGTTATCAGTTTTAATCAATTAGTTTTTTTGTGTAATTTTCATATTTAATAATGTATCTGCAGGAGCACGGCGTGTTTCTTAAATAATGTTATTTAACTAGTTATCCGAAATGATTTGGATACTTATATGTTTATTTTATTCTTTCTACAGCCGGTTTGTTTAAGATCGCTCTTATTATGAATTAGTTCTATGTTGGCTTCTTTTTCTAACTTATATGAAGAAAAGAAAATTTTTTCTATTATGTCATCATCATCATCAGCCCTTTTACGTCCCCACTGCAGGGGCTCAGGCCTTCCTTATGGATGGTTAAGGAGGATAGCCCATGACCCTCCACGCGAATCGGAGAGTATTAACGACTGCAAATGCAGCCGGGATAAACGCCTTAACGTGCCTTCCGAAGCACGGAGAAGCTCGAGACAATACACTTATTTTATCACCCATTCCGCGACAGACTCTTGCGAAAGTTGCTTAATAACAACTTATCCACTACGCGACGGAGCTATCGAACTATCTATTACATATTTGCAATAATAATAATTTCGGTTATTCTAGATTGCTTACGATGTCTTTTTAGCGTTATTGGTTAGAGCAATCGCCTACAATGCAAAAGGTCATGGGTTGGATTCTATCTTAAGCATTTGAAGCTGGTGGCTATCTTTTTTTTTATAAGATAATGAAAATCTAGTTTTATGAATTCACAACAGAACCGTGACCCACTAGCGAAACAATAACGTAAAGAATTTCACAGGAAATCATTTTTAACTGCCCAAGGTGACGTTTATATAACTATAACATGAAGCTATAAAAAATGTAATTTAATTTCCGGTCTCGCTGGTCCGAATGAAATTTATAGCTTTACATACTCGTAACTATAACATTATCTGTCTTTCTCTTTAGAATTGTTCACAATTTTAGTGTTAACTTTGGCAGTTTTTGATGCAATAAAAAATGTGAATTTAGTACTGTTCCAATATTTGTAAATAGATTGTAATATATGAAGAGCTTGCTAGAAAGTTATACTTGAGATTGCCAAAGTGAAGCAACTTTGGTTGGACATCGGATGGGTGACTGAAAGTTTGTGTAACCTTCATCGTGCATCTAAAGGCAGGTTAATCTATTATTCCCGTCTGCATATACAATATTTAATATTCAATAAATCGCTTGGGTCTCGGCCGAGTGTGGTGGCGTAATGGCCTGATTTTTGAGTTTAATTTGGATACGGAGAAAGATTTTTTAAAGTTTCAGTAACACGAGTAACTACTTGACGAACAATCATAGCAACATTACTTATAATGTCTGAAAACCGTCTGTGTACAAAATGTATAAGTATCGGCTGCATCTGCAGTCGTTAATACCCAGCAATCCGCACTGGGCATAAGGTGTGGGTTATGGACCATTTTCTCTATATGATTCCATCTACAGGGAACGCGTATAGTCTGATGATGACGAATTTCTTAAATCATCAATATTTTTATTACCTATACCGCCGTATAGTCCTCATCTTGCACCTTCCCACCTGGTTCGGTCTCTTCAGGATTCTTTGGGAAAAACCCCTTGTAGCCATTTTTTGATCAGAAGCAATGGTATCATTGCAATGTTGCTTATAAGATGGCAAAAAGTTATCGAACAAAATGGTAATGGTTTAGTTAAATGTAAATAAAATTCATATAAAATTCGAAGAATCTTTTCCTCAAACCTATTAATTAGGTACTTTAAGATTGAGTTAATTTATATTATTTTTTAACTTTTTATTTTTTATTTTATACTTTTTCTAGGCATACTTATTATAATGTAGATTTTTGTCGAAAATTTCAATTTATATTTAAGGTAAAGATTACATTTTACTTCTTAATTGCTAGTTTTTGTTTCTATAACGAATAATTATTACTTAATCGATTAAGTAATATTCTTTTTCAGTGCGCTTTCATTTGAGACCTCACTCGAGTATATTTGCACATTCGGTTATTCTTCCCCACTTTCAGCTCAACCGATTTTCAACAAACAGGTCTTAGAACACTCGCACATAACTCACCTTTAATAAATAAAAAAAAAATGCAAATGCTTCATGCGTTCGGGAGCTATTATATCACAGACACACACACACACACACACACACACACTAAGACACTCTTATAACACCCCTATTTCGCGTCGGGGGTTAAAAAGTGCAAAAAATGCGGTTAATTCAAAATACTCAAACGCAATGCTATATATATAATAAATTATTTAAAAAAATAGCTCAGTGGTGTAGAGGATAAGCGCCGCGGCCCGCGACCGTTGTTGTTACGCAACTTTCGCAAGGGTTGGTTACGCGATGGGTGACCAAAAAAATATTATCTCGAGCTACTTCTTGCTTCGGAAGGCACGTTAAGCCGTTGGTACCGGGTGCATTTGCAATCGTTAATACCCTCCAATCCGCATTGGGCCAGCGTGGAGGGTCATGGCTCATCCTCCTTAACCAGCCATAAGGAAGGCCTGAGCCCCTGCAGTGGGGACGTAAAAAGGACTGATGATGATGATGATGAAACGCAATGCTATTTGTCAGAGCGGATGTGACGACATTTACACTTCTTGCAAAAAGTCAATATTATATTTTAACTAAAATGATAGGTTTTTTGGGACAAGGTACATGGTAACCCTGTTTTTATTGAGTTCCAGATATTTCGACGCTGCAGTAATCTAGGTTTTTATTTATATTTCAGCAATTTGGTAAACTATATAATTATTTAAAAAATGTACATGAAAACCCATATTATACTTAATTTCATAATTTATTATTGTTCCAAAATTTTAGTTTTTTGGTGCCGGGTATTTCACAGTTATAGTTAGATGTAAATTACCATAATTTATTAGGTATGAATAATAATTAGATATAAAATACATTTCTTCTTTAACCCTTTTGTTAAATACTCCTAAATACCTAAATTCCTTTTTTGCTCTCAGTGCCAACACAGCGATGGACAATGACGTGACACCGGTGTACCTGGCGGCCCAGGAAGGTCACCTGGCAGTCCTCAAATATCTGGTGCTGGAGGCTGGCGGCAGATTAGACGCGAGAGCCAGAGATGGAATGATGCCGATACACGCTGCAGCCCAGACCGGCTGCCTGGACTGTGTCAAATGGATGGTGAGGATATTTCGACATCGTAGCTGAGTGGTTTGCATGCCAGTTTCAAGTCGTTGGCTATCGTCTCTGATATCTCGAGTTCGATTCCCGGTCATGTAATGTAGAAAATCTACGTTGTCTGTCCGGGTGTGGGTGTACCATATTATATTATTGTCATAGAACATACATTAATACTACTCTGAAACATTTCAATATTTTGTTCAGGGATTATTTTTACTTAGAAAAAAGAAGAAAGGGAATCATGGCTAGAGATTAGGTGGTCGCACACGAGGGCAGACCTCGTAATGATATTCGCAAAAAAACTACACCAAGATGCCCAATAATATTGAAATATATCAATCACATATTATAACTGAAATATATCTAAACCAAGACAAACAGTTGAGCGGTTTATTAAATAATGTCTAATAAAATGAGTTATTTGATGCACGCAACGTTTTGTTATGACGTAGGTTCGATAAATGTAGTTACGTCTGTTAGAGCTGGTGAGTTTCTTTCACTAGTTCATTCTATCATCCTAAAGACGCCTGAAATGGGTGGTAGATAAAAAAATGTAGGCCGATACAAAAGTAATTTACCTAATTTTATACGAGTAAATATGTTTTGATTTTGAATTATAACATGAAAGCAAACTAGACTGCGAGAATACCATTAAAAATTCAGTGACGTTCGAATTCAGTTTGTACTGACATTATATAATCGACATGGCTATGCGGTCACCAAAAAAAAACTACTTGAATAGTTATAAATGTTGCCATCTGTTAATAAATCTTAGAGAGAGTTAATTCTACGGACTGAAAGTTAGTAATTTATCGTTTATATCTCGCGTCGAGACGCAGTTGTGCTAGCGAACAACTAGTTGTTCACTCATATAAACAAACGGCTTCTCTCAATCGACGCACTGATTGAGGTAATAGCGAGCATTGCAGCTCTCTTACAATTATTTATTTATTTATTTAAACTTCTTTGGACAAATAAAGCATACTTAATGCCAGATTGCAGCTCTCTAACAATTATAATTTTATTTATTTAAACTTCTTTCGACAAATAAAGCATACTTAATGCCAGTAGGGGCATTCTCTATCAGTCAACCGGAGAAATATGATATAGAAACTTTATTAAAGTACACAAAAACAAAAATAGACACGTGTACAATAAAAAAAAATGTAATAGAATTGTATATAATAGAATATACATAACAAACATATTACATATATACATGTAATACATCCATATAATAAGTCACTAATTATCTTGTCAAGAACAGTGTTACCAGGTCACTTTTTTATGTAATATTTTCAGTTCACGTATATATTTGTGTTCTAAAAACACAAAAAGTAATAGAATTTAGATAGGGCTCAGCGGTTGAAGCGAGATGCGTACGAAAGGAGCGAATAAATTTTTATTTTTACTAAATAATTCAATTTGTCAATCTGTAAGTTTCAGTGAGTTAAATAAATTGTTCCATATTATAAAATAGTAGATATAAATCAATCTTCAATTATTTCTATTATGTTACTCGTATAACATTCACGGTTGTTGATGTGAGCGAGCTAATTTTCTATTATGGAGAAACGACAATATGGCGTGTAAGACATCGAGAGAAAACCTCAAGTTCGATGACTTTAAATCGATCATGTAAGAACTGTATATAGGAAATATCAAACATGATGTTACATTTCATATTAATATTATGTAATACAGGTCATAATAAATATATATCGCGTTTGTTTTTTAAAAATTCTATGTAGTGAATTATGAAATGTATTAATAAAGCTTTTATTTAAATAATAATCACAAATTAACCATGGTATTTTGTTATAAATAACTTTTGTACGCAATGAAACATTTAAAAAAATCTGAAACATTCTTGAAGGCCAATTTCTTACAGACAGGAGGTATTAAATGGTGTCAATTCTGTTGTGCCATTCCCTAAACTTAAATAAAAAACGAATTTTAATATGTTTTTATTTTATTCTGTAGTCATATAATAACCTTATATCGTAGTCTAGCTTGTCAAACTGAATTGCTTAATTTTGTTATATTGTTTCAGATAGTAGAACGGGGCGTAGACCCGAACGCCAGGGATGGTGACGGGGCTACCCCCCTCCACTTCGCGGCGTCGCGGGGTCACCTGACCACGGTGAGGTGGCTGCTGCGGCACGGCGCCAGGCTCCACCTCGATAGACACGGGAAGAGTCCCATCAACGACGCGGCGGAGAACCATCACTTGGAAGTAAGATTTCTAAAGAGGATCGTCACTTTTTTTTTAGAAATTTTTGGTTAGAATAAATTATAACCATTCTAGTAAAATGACATTTCTTACAATTTTCGGGTGATACAGAGATCTTGACCACACGTTACATCAAACTATATATTTGCTAGCTTCCCTATTAGCAGGAACGTCCATTAAAATTGTTATTAGGTGAAAGCGACATTACCGAAACAAATTTTCAAATATAGAACATCAAATTTCAAACTTAGAACATAAATAAAGGTAACATTCAACCTTAAACATCGTTTGTGCATACTGGAACTGGGATAATATGTTACTGGGATAATTTGTAGATGAAAGAATTTTTAAAACCAGTGTCAATCATAGAGTCTTTTAGAGCCTATTCATTACAAACAAAGAAACAATCAAATCTTTTCTTTTTATAATATTAGTATAAATAATTCGTTTTTGAAGGACCAAAAAGAATATATAAATACTTATATATAACAAGTGGCGATTAGTATGAGATTTTCTATAGCCGAATAGGCAATAATTGCATCACACGTGATCTCGCGTAAGTTATCCAGTCAGTCGCGTATGTATTGAGAAGTCGTGAAGATTTTCTAATTTACCAGTTCGATACTTTTGTCTATCACCTTTTACAAATTGACAATTGTGTCAACTACGTAATAATCTATTAGATAAACCCTTACTTTAATGGAAAGAACCTAAGCAAACAAGAAAAATAAAAGAAAATTTGTATTAATTTAACAAACTATAATTTTACAATGGAGGCCGCATATACCTCTTGTGGTACATCTTCTATCAATCAATTTTGTATGGATAAGTATAATATAAGTTCAGCGACGATGGTGTATAAACAGTACGTTTTTGTTAGTTTCCTTTAAATATATCTTAGTTATAATTGCTACGACAGAATTAGGTATTATTTCACTTTTTTGCTTAATATTTGCATATTGCGCACCATTCCGTTATTAAGATTTCAATATAAATTCCATAGTTGTTTGCTACTATTATAAATTATACGATATCTTCTATGTATAAAATTTCAGTTTTCAAAGCGGTCAAAGTTAATATTTACTTAAATAAGCGATAGCGACGTTAAATAAGAAGAACCGTATCGGGTTTTTATTGGTAGAATAGTAATACTTCTGTGTGAATATTATATTGGATTATGTAAAAAAAAAAATACAGATGGAGCAATTCGATTGTGTTTTTGGTTATTTTTTTTACCGAAGAATCTAGTTAGTTGGTATGTTGTGATGATGGTCCTGTGATGTAGTGATGTATGATGACTACAAAACTCTCCAACATTATTCAACAGTTTTAAATTATGAGTACTATAGACAGGAAATGAATCGTATTGTAATTTCTTCGTTAAAAATATGTTACACGTAACAAACTTCAATTACAATTCTTGCCATAGTATCTTTAAAAAATCGCATCGCAAAGAATGTAATAGGTAACAAACATCCAATGATATAATGAGGCATGATGATAGATATGGCAAAACCATGCGATACTTGTTTCATAACATAGATAATACGGTTATTAGTAGGTATTACTCGAGTTCACTTAACAAGGAAACGTATGACAAGCAACGTGAAGAAGTAACCATAAACAAAAGACATTCGTAATTGAAACACCTGCTTGGTAATTATGCGGTGCGATCACTTTCTACCTTGTCTATGGTCAGGGTAATCGGCTTAGACAATACAGTAAAGCTCACGTTTCGAAAGTAGTAGAGTTACAGTCTGTTGGGTGGATGTACTCGTATGTTACATTTGAATGCGCGTACGTCTGCATATTGGTAATTATTAAATTTAAACAATCAGGTGTTTCGCTTTGGTCTATTGACGGATTAGTTTCGGACAATTTAGGTTTTTGTGTAATACTAAAATAATTTCATGAATAAGGAGGTAAATTAGTTCTACGGGGTGTGGGATATGTACAATGATATATTGATTAAATAATCAGTAAGTGGAAAGAAAAGACTAGCTATGCTATTATATAGTAAAGACCCACACATACCCAGGATGGACTGGTGGTTGTAATTGAATATATATAGCCTTTAAGTGTTATATTGGTTCAGAATCATAGAAGATTTAGAGTTGTTTGTTTATTATTTATCCATCCGACGAATGGAATTATTTGTTACAGGCAAAAATTTCTTTGTATGCTACTAGCCAAGATGTTCAGAATTAAATCGTGTCAGGTCATAGAGCGACAGTATTACCAGACGAAAATTTGTATGAGAATACAGTAAACTGAGAAAAAAATCGGCGCCTTTAAAAATTTATATTTTTAGTGCTTATATGATGTTATTGATTCTAAATTGAATAATAATTGAAAACTCGTTATTTTATTTATTAATTAAATGTTATATTTTATATAGTTTTATTTCTATTTTCAATTGTTAATGACATCATATAAATTTAATTATTGTTAATATTAAATTTAATTTGGAATAATATGTATGTTATTGTATGTTTTGTCTATTAAATTTAATAATCGTTGACATTATATAAAAATGTACTTTGCTACCTTGCTGGCGCTTCGGTACGTACTGTAGGTTAGCAAGTGTGTTTGAATTAATAAATATATACGAAAATGAATAAAGAAAAATAAAATAAGAATATCATAGATTAATCTTGATATGGCATCATTGCAGCGTCCGTCGGCGCTTCCAAGTTAAGTGAAATAGAAAATGTAATGTTCGCGCAGTTTGTGCAAATTTTGCACAGGGTTAGCGGCCTGGAACTGAATTGAACAACTTGTCTATTATACCTACATATAAGTATTTGGTTACTGTATTTAATATTATAACAAAATAAAATTTTATTAGAATGAGACAACATAAATATGGCAATGAACTTTATATTTATACTTTATCGTGAATCATTCGATTATTACCGAAACCTAAAACAAATTCCTGTTACTATTAACAATTACTCATTGAAAATTTGGCACGCTTAGAAAATGAATGGAAATATCGGTCTAGACAGAGCGATATGACACATAAACACAATGGCGGAAAGTTCAAAATCATTATACGGGGGCATTGACTCCATAGAATATTTTAGCATAGGATGATTATTTGATTAGTCTGAAAATTTGGCATCAAGATAAAATCCATGATGGGAAATGGGAAATTAAAAATATTACAATAACTTAAATTGTTTTAAAGGTTTCGTGGACGTTAACATTATGTCGAGTCTCCGATATTTTGGCGCTATTCGTCAAAGAGTAACATATTGTCATTTTACTGAAATATGTATTTTATAAAAAATGTATGCTGTCCGTCTATCACATGGCAACAGCATCTATCTGCAATGAGCTCCATTGCCATGTGGTAGTTATAGTATGATACTTAGTGTGGAAATAGTCGGGAAGCTAGAGTATGACACTATTTTTATATAAAAACACACATATTCCTTAAAAAATTGGCGGGTAATACTCGAAACAGGTTAATGTTGAAAATAGATCCAGTTGCGTTTGGTATGATAACAGAAAGTAAAAAAATTGAGATAAAAAACAATGCATGGGAATATACAAAAACTAGATATCCAACTTTGATTTTTGTAGTGGAATATTTTTAGACATGCTTATCATAATTCAAATAATTTACAAAAAAATGCTCCACCATGAAGTTTCTCTCCCTCCCCTTACGAGGCCGTCCATTAATGACGTGAAGCTCGAAAGTAAGGGAGGGGGTTTGTCAAAAATCACGAAATATCACAAGAGTGGAGGGGTGTAGTAATATATTACGTGTATTTATTTTTTCTTCAAATGCGCGATTGCTAACCTGAAAAGCGGCGTCAAATATTAAGATTATTTGTAGGTACTAAAAAATACACGTGATTTGGGTGGAGGAGGAGAGTTAGTCTTACCCCTCACCATGTATCACAAAGAGAGGGTGTTTAAAAATGCTGAAAAAATATCATGTGATTACTGGAAGGTACTAGAAAATCGCATAAAAATCTATGTCGCAACGCAATAGCGTTCTAGCAGATGCGGCGTGCATTTATTTTATCTAAAGCTAGCTTATTATGTAGCCATTAATTGACATGATAAGTTGTCGCCTACAAAGAAGTCTATATTCATTCTGACTTTGAAGAAACAAATTGTACCGCTGGTAGTGTACAATTGGGTATTGTTAGACAACCTTGATTATCAAGTGTAGGTACCTATTATTCACATTTCTCGTCTATTGCATCAACAGTGTCTGAACGTGTTGGTGGCCGCTGGTGCAGGTGCGGACAGCAAGCAACTGTCCACGTATAAAGCGGTCCACTCCTGCGCATGCACACCAGGTGACGCGCGTGTAAGTATATGATTCATCATCATCAGCCTTTGACGTCCCCACTGCAGGGGCTCAGGTCTTCGTTTTGGATGGTTGAGGAGGATAAGCCATGATTGTAAATACAGCCGGGACCAATAGCTTAACATGCCTCCGGAGCACGGAGTAGCTCGAGATGGTAATTTTTTGGTCACCCATCCTGTGACCGACCCTTGTGAGAGCTGCATAACAACAACGATAGCAGGCCGCGGCGCTTATCCACTACGCCACTGAGCTACTTAACAATTATACGATAATTCTGTGTAAAACGAGTCAAGTATAGGTTTATGTATTTTTTTAATTTAAATATTAGTTCACATCACATACATTGCCCAAAATTCAAATTATGTAACTAAAGGGCTTATTATGGAAACCAGTAACAACGAAGATAACACAACATCTAGACCAGGAATAATATAGAAAGAGAATTTTCTACAATTACCCTACAGGGAATCGAACCCGGGACTTCAACTTGGCGATGCTGAGAAATTTCCCACTAAGGTACTAATTAGCGAGGAATTAACTGTAATCAATAAACTAACACTTGTATTGACCGATGCAATACAATAATTTATTTATTTTATGCGCAGATAGGATAAGATAATATAGCCAAAATATATATAGATAATAAGCCAAAATAAGACATGAAGAATAATTGAGCTTTTTCTATTGGTGGTTTCTCAAGTTGTATCAATGATTTAATTTTGAATCAAGTACAGGCATTACGTCAATGGTTAGAATTTTATTCATCTAGATGTAAAAGTTCTTTAGCTTTTAATACTTTTTGTAAGATCTCATAATCATTTATTTTTAGTGCGCCCTTCCAAATTGCATCAACACTGGCAACACTCGCTCTCCCTTTTATCTTCACGCGCCAGAAAGAGAGCGCCGCAACTCAGTCCAGGAGCGGCGAGGGTCTCTACCTTCTACCGTCGGCTCCATCAGTTCAGCGAGATCCGGTCCAGCTGATGGCTTGTACGTGAATCCGATGCAAAGAGCCGTTTCCACAACTGCTACACATCATAGTTCTTCAGGGGAGGAGAGTTCAGGTTAGTTTGCAAAAGTTATTCACTTACAGTGCTATTAATAAACAAGGTGTAGTGTCAAAGTAAATTTACGCTGAGACTGTACTTATTATTAATCAAAATTAAACTGAGACTTGGCAAGGGTTAACCTAGTACGAGGTTCTACGGGAGTAATATTTACTTCTAGAAGGTAGTAGGTTTGATTATTCTCTGTATAATATGAATTTAATATATACTCAAATGGTAATTTTCAAGAATCATTAGCTATATCGTAAGTTATATTTAAAAAAAAATTTGTTAGCGACAAGTGGTTTCAAAATATTATTTATGCTATACTTTGGCACCATTTCCACTGTCAATCTCTATTAATTTCTTAGGCATTTAGTATTTTCACTAGGCATTGAACTTATTTTTTAACAGGCTTATTTTCGGACAACAGCGTTTAAAAAATCTTTATTACATTTTGAAGTAGGTTTTATTTGTTTAATCCTCTATGACGTGACAACGCAACGATCGACGGATTCGAAGCTTTTAAATATAAAAGAATAGAAAGTATACAATAACATACAATAAGATAAAACATCGTACAATTTCATATCTTTGCTAGTTTTTAACAAGCTTAAGCGTGTGTTGTCAATTTAAATTAAAGTAATTAACTTGAAATGTATAGATTATACGTGAATAGTACCGATTTCAGTCGGTAGTTATCGAACATGCATTATGCGTAATAATCCTACTCATTTGGTGTTAGTATTTGATTAGCGAATCGGTCCTAGTGTGAACGCGCGAGCGTAACTAACAGGCCATGAAACGGATTCATGCTACGTTACTGATAACTGATCATCAATACATTAACTAACTAGTTCAGATAATTCTGTGGTTGTATTTTTTTTATTAGGATAAAGTTTTATGGGGCATATAAAATATTAGATTAATGTGATAGAGATTTTACTTGTCCGTATTTCAATAGAAAAATACTTGAAAGAAAACCTTTCCTTCTCCAGTTTTTCGAACAATTTAAGTAATTTTTCTTTCTTCGAAGAGCTTTGATAGCTACAACGAACATAAATACAGTTAAATAGATTAGAGATCTTTAACGCTTTTGTTCAGAGATCGAGTAGGGTGGTTCCCGCTTAACTATAACCCTTAATGAAACAGTTATTGTTATCTGATCATATAAATAATAATACATAAGACATTTGAGATGCGATTACTACTTAAAAATTGCAGAATTGAGGCCCAAAATCTTGATTTTAATTACACAAATTTTACTATCCTTAGGTAGTAAAATTAGTGTTTACAAATTAGAGAAAATTTCTTTTTTACATATAATCATAATGCATTGAGAAAGTTTATATATGCAATTATTAGTTGCTGTGAGCGCACTCGGTGTGCGATTGCACGGATTAAGTGACACTTTTAAAGCAGGTTATCGGAGGGGTGCAATTCGAAGATAGTAAGTCTTCGAATAGCATGATGAGTCGTTGATTTCTATTACACCTGCATTCATTAGCACCAGTGCTAGCAAGATAGATAATTATTTGATTTTAATGATTTCACTAAAATTGCTTAATTTCGTTTGATGGTTCCTAATCAACGGTGAAATGCATTTTACCTTAGGCGATTCCTATATATTTAGGCAACAGATTTGGGCGACTCCTAAGTTTAGTGAAAACAGGCACCAGACACATTTCCCTGTGTTTTTCTCCATCTGAATGGTGTATCCAGTAATCGAAGAAGAGGTTATGAATAATAATCATCATGAATAAATTGTTTGCATTTCGCTTGATAATCTTGTTTTGTTAGTATTTGCATATAATTTTTTTTTCATTATATTACTATTATACACAAATAGTGTTTACTTATTTAGACGCTATTTGTTTATAAATTATGTAAGTGGACTATTGGAATACCAAAAAAATTGTCACGGTAAAGTACAACGCCAAGACTAATAGTAGGCATCAAACATGAAGGCCGATGTACTTTTTTGTTGCCCAAAAGTACTTTCTAATTGTAGTAGCGCAATCTATTACAAATTCTTATTTGCTAGTACAAAATAATTTATTACAGTGATTGGTTCTTTTGACCATAAAATTTCATCTCGCTTCGTTAACCCTATGTAGCGGAAAATATTTTGCAGGAAGCGCATACGCAGCTTTAGGTAACACGGTCGCACATCACTAAGCAGTTGCTTTCCTGATGCCGAGCCGGTCGGACGTGTTTGCTAATTACAGTTTTCCGAACGGAAAATACAGTTAAAGAATGAACGTGATTAGCAAAAGAGATTTGTGTCAGGAGTGGATAGCGCGCAGTGATTTTGTTCGTTATAATGAATTTGGTGTGTTTCTATTTATTTTCGCATTTTTTATGAGACCGTTAAAATATTTTTTTTTTTATTTAAAGACTTTTTTTACGCAGAGATATCAAGGAGTGATTTTTAGCTACAATCAAAGACTAGATTCATATTTTCTTTCGCTACATAAGGGTTAAGTTGTAATATTATTTACAGAAACACATGTGTAAACATTCATACATTTAGTGCTTTAAAAAATAATTATTTTCTTAGTTTTTAATGTATAACAAAATACAAAAATAACGAAGTCTATCATATAACATTAAAATTGTAGCTCTTCTTTGTCTCACGGTACATCTTTGTATACTTAGTCTTAACAGAAATATTTTAAATAAATAAGTTGTTTTGTTACGTAAACGTAGAATAGTTAACCAAGGCAATTTTTTGTGTCCTTGGTTGGTAATATTTAAGTTTGCTTACGTTTATAATAATTAATTTTAGAATAAGTTATTAGAACTAGTACTTAGGCATTGACATAATATTTCGTCTATTTTCTCAGCTTGCTCGGCATCAGATGGTGACTCTGGCAACAATGGGGGTTGGTTTTTGCATGGCGGATCGAACAATAGCTCCGGAGCCCCAGCGGCTTTGTATCAGCGTGTGAGGGACCTCTTCCACACTCGTTCTCCAGGACCTAGAGTACCCGCTGAAGGGCAAGAGGCTCCAACTATGACAGGTGGGAAATTATTATCTTATTGACTGTAAGCGACTATTTTCAAATTGATATAACACACTAAGACACAATATGTATTAAAAAAGAGGTAAAGTACAGAATTCTGGATTATTAGTATACTAGCTTTTCGCCAGCGGCTTCGCTCACGTAGTCTTGTATTATATATAAAAACCTACCTTTTGAATCACCCTATCTATGAAAAAACCGCATCAAAATCTAATCAAGGCCAACTATACTTTGCTTATTACTGGCATCATAGACTTGTATGGTTCCTCTGTTAAACAAATTAGGTAATAAGTTCCTTGTAATACGTTATCAAACATTGCGTTCACGTATTACAATGATGCAATGAAGTTATAATCGCTCAAGTTTGTGGATTAATAGAAAGATGCACACACCTAAGGTTGATTACATATTTCATAGAATCCAACAAGCATGACAAGAAACGTAATCTAATAAACAAAACCTCCTAATGAAGTGAACTTTATATTCAAATGACTGTAAGATCTTTTAAGTTTTGGATTAAACAAACATAATAAAATAATTGAGTTGGAAAATACAAAATAGTTTTTATATAGATTATGGTTTGGATCCTAAAATCCATTTCAATGCTTTGTATTCTTATTCTCTGAAGTTTGTAGTTAAACAGAGCTTTATATGATTCTGGTGCTCAATATTTTGATTGGTAGGATAATTTCAAGAACCTAGTCTGATGGGCCGTGTGTTCTCACGAAGTGTAATTTTCTGTGCCGTCCTCGTGGCAACTATCAACAACACCAATTTTCGTAGACTACAAAACGTTAAGTACTACAAAAAGCAATGGATTTAAAGCCTTAATATGTCGAACATTAAGTTTATAAATGATTGCAAAAATTTGAATTTTATTGTAACCTAATTTATGTGTGCATAAACTTTCAACGTATTCACTAAACTAAAACTTGAAAAAGTTACAAAGAATTTTAGGAGTTTCAAAATAAAATCCAGTAAATGTAATTGGAAGAATACACATACATTTAGGTTTCATTTAAAAAATGCTTTTATTCATTTTAACTCAATAATGTGCAATTGGTTCAACCTAATTACATTAGTCTTTATGTTCACTCATTGGATAATCTGACGCAAATTGATTGGTTCGAGTACTGCGCCATTGAGTGAACTCTAATTAAGTTTATAGTTTAGTTTTTAGCTATAGAATTTTAGATCATTTACCTAGATGTGCCTCGAATACAAGTTTTTTAGTGTACCTTCCTTTTCATGCAGTAAAAGCCGAGGTACACGGTTCGACGGAGGCAACTACGGTGCCAGAACAGTCGGACAGTGACAGTGGAGCCGAAGCCACGAGACGCGGTCACCACTATGAAGATATCTACATACCACGGGAAGAGCAGCAGAGGAGAAGGTAGGATATGTATTTTATTCAGATGAATGTTACTCACAAAAGATTAATTGAAGAGATTTTTAACAAAAATTACCCGAATAAAAGGATTTGCCAAAAAGAGGACTTTTTAGCAAATCCTTTTATTCGGATCACAGGAGTGATAGTTGAATTTGATGCATGAGAATTATATGAAAACTCAAACGTAGCAATGGTAAAGATACACACGGTCAGGTTACTACAAATGTCAAATTTCTGTAAAGAATTTTGGCGTCTACCCGCAATAGGTAAGTATATTAATGTTAAAAATCGAGAAATATGATAATTTCGTAAAGTCTGACGTGCAGTTGATTGTACTGATAAACAGGAGACAATTGAAAAATAAGAAACCGTTATAGATATTTTTTATTCAGGAGTACATCTCGTGATTCCGGTAGTCACAGCCGGCCGGGGAGTGCTGCTCTTATCATCGATTACACCACCAAAGACAACGGCGATGCGTATGTATCTTAAATTAACAAAATATAGATAGTATTTAATAAAAGTGAGAGATCGCACAACTTAATTTAAACTACAAGACGATATCAGACATGAAAGTATTTTGATGTTAACCTTTGCTTTTTTCGATAGGTAACACAAAAGCGTTCCGACACCTGAAACCTACACCAACAATAGACTTATAAGTGTTTCTTTACAGACTGAGCAAAGCATATGAAGAAGTCACTCCAGTGGTCGACTCTCAGACGAAATCCTCCATAGCAACTAAACTAGCAGCTCTAACACACAAGGCCCAGAACTTTGTGAGTAAATACCATATAAGTACTGTGTGCCTGATCGATTTGCATTTATTAGAAACCAGGTTTACTTTTGGTATAATCGGGTTAATATATGCGTTTTCCATCACAGGCTAGCCGCATATCATCAGCGGCTGGTAGTCGCCGTGCGTCAGTATCCGACGAGGTGGCAGTGACGCAGACGTCTGTGTCGGCGTCGTCGGGCGTCTCATCTGGCGGCAGCTCGGGAGACGAGGCCCCTCCCCCGCCACCGCCCCCGCCCGCACCCCCCGCTCCACCAGTACCTCCACCCGCAGTGCTGGAAGAACCTGCACTCAGACCATCGGAGTTGAGGGGGCGTTTAGGTAAGTTCATCTTCAGCATTACCAATGACATAAATTTTAGCAGACGTAGATGATGGAGGTGCTGGATTATGCAAAGGAAACCAAAGATTTGGACGAAAAATGTATGAAACGTGCCGAAGCGGAATTATTGCGGAAAGCAAAGAAACAGTTCATCGAATAAATCATAAATTAGCTAAAGGAATCAATCGCCGGTTATGTATAGATAGATATACATATCAAAAAAGTTAAATATCAACAACATTGGCAAATACTGAGTTGTAGTGTTATTCATAAACCTTTGTGATCGTAACCTTATGCATGATTGATTAATACCGAATATTATCGCGTGTAAAAATCATCAGCATTTCTTAGTTCTGGAAGATTCAATAGGTAACATTGCAGAGGACGACGAGCCCCCACCGCCTCCGCCCCCCGTGCCCCCGATGCCACCTCCGCCGCCACCATTAGCGATGTTAAAAGATTTGATGTTCAATCCCTTGAAACTGAAAGCCCGACTTGGTGAGTCTCGTTATGTTCAAGCTTCGCCTGTAATACGTATACGTTACGTATAAGCTTGTCCTGCGAGCTTACCTATATTATGGTTTATTACTCCACGCCTCTATATACTTCGTATGCCCTGTACCTTTGCGCCATTATTAGCATCCTTCATTGCGTAATTTATTCTAAGTATTCGCTTGTGCTTTTAAGCCAATAATATGGCATTCAACTCTTTATTGTCTATCTTCATGATTATCGAATGAATACTTATTGGTGGTTATCTCGTACTGCTTGCTTTTCATTGTAAGTTTTATCATTTCGAAACTATATTCAGTCATCACATATATCTTTATGTCAGACGTTTATCATTTAATGTTCCCTAATCGTTGTTTCTTCAACAACAGATTTTCATCTTTAGAGTAGTTTGTAGAAACAATTTCAACTCTGCTACTATATCTCTGTCCGGTTAGGTTTCTTTTTATAGATTTTTTAATTCTTTATATATTTAAAATTTCCTTCGTTTTTTTCATTTGTCATTTAAATAATCATTGCTTTCAGTTGTCAAAAAGCATTTTACTAAAATTATTATTACATTGGCGGCTTTCATTTTTTTCTATGTTTGTTTCATTAAATATGGGTACAAAAGGGACTTTGAGAAATCTAGTAGTCGCAAGAGTTTCTTTAAAGCTATATCCAGGATGCGCCTGCTATGTCTTTACTCATACAACGTTTATATTGTTAATGGCTGCTTTTTTATCAGCAAAAATATACTTACGATTGTATTTTTTGTATTATAAATTAATACGTGCCATACTTCACGTAAGGGATAATGGTAAGTCAATATATTTGTAAATATAAAATAGTAGTGAAATAATGTGCTTGTTGATTTCTTATCGGGTGGCAAATCTATTACCATTTATTGCCTATCTATTATTATCTAGAAGAAAATTTTGTGATTTTTTAAATTTAAAAACTGTTTCCGTTGGTTATACAAAAATCTAATGAAAATATACTCGTTTTATGACCCTAGACACTGCGTCCACTTCGCATATTAAATAATTTGTGAAATATGACAATTTCGTAATTATCATTTTAATTCTTTAGATTTTTTTTATACTAGAAACTAATCTATTTGCAAAGAACGGTATTTTTATTTTGCCGCTGATGTAAACGCTATTGTGTGGCACTTATTTAGATAATTTGGTCCTCTTTTAATTAATAAAACTTGATAACTAGGGAAATGGTTGAGATATTCAAAAACTTTTTTTAGCCCTGATATCCTAGTGCCAATGTACAACTTACTGACTTAACTAAAAACACTTGTCTTTAGGTTTGTTTTATCGTCAATATTCTTAGTTAATTTTAATCAAATATTTCTGTATTCAATAATATAAAGTTACTGCTGTCGACTACTAAGTATTTAAAAATTGAAAACCCAAGAAATAAACTTTTAATCAGTGTAGTTAGTACAATATAAATGCAGGACTCAGTTACTTTATTTTAAATCTTATACGGTATTTTTGTACATGGGTCAGGTGTGTAAGGAAAATTCTTAAATAATATATTAATAATAACTTGTTCAAAAAAATGTTATATCAATTTTTTTAATGGCTTTTAGAAAGGAATTTTTATGCGACTCAAGAATACATAGAATCTTAACATTAATATATTAGCATTTTAAGAATAATGATTAATTAAATATATGAACTTGAATAAAAATTTATTGACATGTAATTTAAAATCTAATGAATATATAATGGAAACGTAAAATGTATGCGGAATGTGTTTTATATAGATTTTTTTTGTATTGTTACTTTATTATAGACATTTGCATTCCTACAAGAATAAGGTGGAATAATATTTAGTTTTGAAACATTGTTGAACAACCCAATGTAGATATATAATATTGCACAAATAAAATACTTTGATTTTGACTTAAATTGAAAAAAAAAACAATAATTTGTTAAAATGCGCTAAAAGTTAAAAATAAACTTTGAAGTAAATTGATCTCATAACTTTGCTTCTTCAATGTAGTAATAACTTCAATGTAGCAACATTGAAGTAACTACATACGTTATAAATGCTTGTCAGTATTATTATGCAGTTTACAAATAAATCAGCTTATTCGAACTCATAGGAAAACCATTAAACACATACTCTTCCGAACAAAAAGATTTATCGAAGACCGTAAAAAAAAATCAAACAACATAATACAGTTAGTTCAATTCAATTTTAAGACTTTCAGATTAGATAAAATAGGGGTGTCGACTAATTTTTATTTGTTTATCCTTCAGGTAGATTGTTGAAAAATATTAAACAAGTATTATTTCAATTATTCGTAATCATTAAATTTTCTTTTAAAATAATCCCAATACCCGAAAAGCTTAACGAAAGTAGACTCCATTGGTATGGTCATATCATGAGCCGAGAATATGACTACTCCGTGAAGGCAGTGCTTAACATCAACACACATTCAAAAGGAAGAGGCAGATCGCCTTCTACATGCTGGTCAAATATTAAGAGGGATCTTTAAACGCAGAACATTTCATCTTTGACATGTTCTGCGTTTAAAGATCCCGGGAAAGAATTTCCTGGCGCCGATGCACAAGGAAGCCCGACCCTAGATAAACTGGGAGAAGAAGAGTAATCATTCAATTTTCTACAAAAAATTTACGTAGCTAGTCCCTACTCTTCAACTTTAATACATGCTATATAAGCTATTTCTTGTTAAATTGAAGTAAAAAAATACGTATCTAAATTTTTCAATTATCTGACTGACGGACTAAATAGAATTTCCTATTCGAACAACCCGGGAAAGAATTTCCTGGCGCCAATGCACAAGGAGGCCCGACCCTAGATGAACTGGGAGAGGGGCAGGGAGAAGAAGAGTAATCATTAAATTTTCTACAAAACTGTTACGTAGCATGTCCCCACTCCTCAACTTTAATGCCTGTTATCAAAGCTATTTCTTATTAAATTGAAGTAAAAAAAAAAAATACGTATCTAATATTTTTCAATCATCTGACTGACGGACTTAGTAGAATTTCCATTTTTTACCCAGTCGTCATCTCTATTCAAAAATCAAATGCGGAAGACTATTTGCTGTAATAATCTGCTGCTGTATTTTACTTCAAGTTTGCTTTCTTTTCCATTAGCTACATTAACCCAAACATTTGTTTAAATAATAATAATAATATTAATTATTCTCCTTCTGCTAATGTTCTTAAAATTTACGGTAATTTCCAACGTAAACAGTCATGTGAGTGAAAGACTGGAGCCGAAAACTAAGTCAGAAATAAGACTTGATGTTTTCTAATCACCCACCATCCGATATTGCAATTTTTCTAATTCGTACTTAACTTAAGTTAAAATTAATAAGTCATTAATTTCAAAAATAAATTGTCGTTGTCATTGGTAATTTTCAATTTATATACGTTTCAATTTATATGCGTAGTGGATAAGCGCCGCGGCCCGCGATCGTAGTCGTTAAGCAACTTTCGCAAGGGTCGGTCACGGGATGGGTGACCGAAATATTATTATCTCGAGCTACTCCGTGCTTCGGAAGCCACGTTAAGCTGTTAGTCCCGGCTGCATTTGCAGTCATTAATACCCTCCAATCCGCATTGGGCCAGCGTGGAGGGTCATGGCCCAGCCTCCTTAACCATTCATAAGGAAGGCCTGAGCCTCTGCAGTGGGGACGTAAATGGGCTGGTGGTGTAATTTATATACTTACTAGCTTTCCGCCGGCGGTTTCGCCCGCGTGGTCCTTAGGGAATCGTTTATTTTAGATATCGATTTATTTATATCATGACACGAATATAATTACAATGACAAATTGAATAATAACTTTGGTAATTATAATAATTTTCTCCTATTTTCATCCTTTGCGGGATAAAATATAGCCTATGTTCTCCGCACATGGTGTAACTTCCCGCTGCAAACAAACATACAATCAAATCTTCCCTCTCTATAATATTAAATAATATATTTATGTAGAGTGGCTAACATCTCATTCTCCCACTAAATTGTAGAAATCGAAAAGTCATATAACAGTTACAAAGCATAAAATTAAAAATTATACCAATCGTTTTATATGTCATAACAGTTTTAAACGACTTCCGCTTATTTACCGAATGAAAAACACTTTGTTAAATCGCAATGAATCGGTTAATTTTATTGAAAGTATATTATCATCGACTGGTGTTTTAAATAACTAAATATTGGTCTTAGTGACTATGGGTCACTTATATAATAGATTTTTAAAATACAAAAGTGTGGTGTACCTCTATTATAGAACAGCCAACATACCATATTGAAATTATTTTAATCTAATTACAATCAAAAGAAGTTTCTATTTTAAAGTTATAAAGAATTATCGAATTTACCAAGTTTTTTATATATTAATATGTTCGCAAAATCTTTTAACTGAATTTATATCAGTTGTCAATATAAATTTTGTATATAGGTTTAGTGTAGATGACAATACACAGTTGAATAATGCGGTTGCTCATAATATGGGCATAAATGAAAGGATCAGCAGAAAATACGGCGTTAAAATACCTAAAACATATTTTCAAACAAGGTTTATACAAGTTCTGCTATAGTGAGTAATATATCAAATAAAAGAAGAATAAAGCAATACTTAATTATTTTTGTGTAATTTAATATAGTATAATTATATTGTAGTTTAATTATAATATAATTTGCTAATTTTGATTTAATTCCTAAATGTTTTATGCTGTCTGTACCTGCATTCATCGTGCTTTTAATTTTTGTTTCTGTATAACATTTATTTGAAATTATGAATTGGTTTATAATGTTAGCACTCACATATTATAATACAAAGTTTTCGTCGTATCTGTTTATCTTGTTCAACGAGATAGACTTATAAACTATTGAACGGATTTTCTTGCAGTTTTCACCAATGGATTGATACTTTACAAGAAAGTTTAGATGTGCAATTAAGGACTCTATTACATCTAGACTGTCATTTTGCGTAAATTGGTTCGGATTTAAAAATA